ATGAGCATGTTTATGATTTTTATTTTGAACTCTCTTTCAGGAAGATTAGTGTGTTCAGTTTCATTTGTCTCTTTTTTTAGTGTTTCTGAGATTTTTGTTTGAACACGGTTCCTTTGATGTTTCATATTTGTATGTGGCACCCTCTAGTGCCCAGAAGGTCTAGTCTCTGGAGCTGCTCAGCCGCTGGTGTGATGTCGGGTCGCATGGGAGTGGAACTGGTGCCCGCGGGGAGGAAAGAGCTGTTTCCGGCCTCCTGGCTGCAGTGTGTGTCTCCACTGTCAGAACCAGTGGGCCGAGCACACAGGTGTAATCCTTTGCACTTTGCTTCTGTAGCTGCAGTAGGCAGGCCCTCCCTCTGGTTGGCCTGATGGCAGGGGAGAGACTGACAGTTTGTGAGCTGGTGCCAACAGGCCAGGAGGAAGGCACAGCAGGATGCATATCACAGTGGGGTCCTCGGAGCTGAGCAGCCAGCCAAGGGATGGAGTGCCTGAAGATCCCAAAAGTTCCTAAACTGCTGGGTGCAGTACACCCAGACAACCCTGTCCACCTATCCTTTTCCTGCACAACAAGCTCCATGTAAACCCTGCCCCTCCAACAGCCCTCTTGCTGTTAGAAAGCCTCTCAGACTGCCCACATTTTCCTTGGTCCCAGTGTGGCCCAATGTTGATCCCTGTCCTCCACAAAGGGCTGGAATCTCAGTCTCTCCATGTATTCCACCTGTCTTAGCTTTCCAAGCCCACCAGTCTCCAGAGCACCATGCAATGTAGGTCTGTGTTTCCAAAGCAGATCTCCAGGGCTGGTTGTTCAGCAGTCCTAGGCTTCCACCCTCTCCCTGCTCCATTTCTCTTCCTCCCACCAGTGAGCTGGGGTTGGGGAATGCTTTGGGTCCTGCTGGCTCAAGGCTTTGGTATGTTACCCTGTTTCATGAGGTCTGCTCTGTTCTCCAGGTGTATGCAGTCTCATGCAGCTTCCTATCCTGTTGCTCTTTTAGGATTAGTTGTATTAACTATATTTTCATATTATATGTGGGTTTGGGAGTAGTTCTCTGTCTCATCTCTCATGCCACCATCTTGAATCTCAATCCAGTATAAAATCCTTTTTAAAAAACATCAGAAACAAGCTTAAACATGAGTTTATTTGTCATTAGTAAAAAAATGTCACAGGAGGATTAAACAGATTGAAGGATTGATACATTCATTCAGGAATTTGTTTCTTATATAATTATTGAGGAACTATATGTGGGTGGAGCCATGCTAGATTCTGGAGATGAAGCACTGAATAAGATATAGACCTATCTTCATATACCATATGAAGATATATATGGAAGATGTATATGATATATTCTTTTAGAAGTTGAAGCAGCCCAGCTGAGGGACACCTCTTCATTTACCTCAGGGTGGAGGGTTCTGGGAATACTTAGTTGGTAATGTCAAATATGAGCCTAAAGGAGTTCATAGCCATCGTACAGGCAAAGATTGAAGAGGAACCTGATCCAGGTAGGCTGGAAGGGTTAAGGAAAGGAGAGAGAGGGACAAGCACAGTCTATTGTGTCTGGGTATCTTTGTCCGTTCAGGCTCCTATAAGAATAACCACAGCCTGGAGGCTTACAAATAACAGAAATACATTTCTCACAGCTTTGGGGGCTGGGACATGCAAGATCCAGGTGCCAGCATGGTCAGGTCTCATGAGCTTTCTTGCTGTGTCCTCACACAGTGAATGGGAAAGGGATATTTCAGGGCCTTTTCCATAAGGGCACTAACCCCAGTCCTGAGGGCTCCACCTTCATGACTTCACCCCCCCAAAGGCCCCGCCTCCTATTACTATAGTCTGTGGGAATTAGCGTTTCAACCTATGAATTTGAGGGAGACTGAAATGTTCAGACCAGANCCCCCCCCCCAAAGGCCCTGCCTCCTATTACTATAGTCTGTGGGAATTAGTGTTTCAACCTATGAATTTGAGGGAGACTGAAATGTTCAGACCAGAACACTGGGCAAGTGAAGATGGCTCTACAGGAGCAGGCTTCAGACTCCTGGGGGTTTTGAGGAGGGAAACAATGAGAAGTGAGCTAGAGAGGTAAGCAGGGGCAAGACCAGGAAGGGCCTGGAGGAAAGCCACTGATGCCCTTCTGGGAGATAGCCATGATCAGGTGATTGTGTAGAAAGCTCTTCACATAGCACTGTGGGGAACAGACAGGAGTGGGGGGCTCTGGGATTTCCTTTCTGGAATCTGTGTCAGGCCTCCCATGGCTTTGAGCCCCAGCCTATCTTGTGAGGACTGAAGTGGGCCAGAGCACTCTGTTGGGCCTCCTGTGGCTCTGAGAATGACCTACACCCTCCTGTGTTTGGCAGATGCTACATCACCCTCACGCAGTCTCTGCACCTGACCATGAGTGGAGCTCTGTCAGGACCTGCAGGAACAGGCAAGACAGAGACCACCAAGGACCTGGGTCGAGCACTGGGCATCATGGTCTACGTGTTTAACTGCTCAGAGCAGATAGACTACAAGGTACAGATCCATCTTTGAGAGGGACTAAAACCAGGTTTATCCATGCCACCTGGCCCAGCTCAGACAGTCAGGTCTCTGTGCCCCTTCCCGGGGGTCCTGGGGATCCTAGACCCCTGCAAACTTGTCGACCTCCCTATAAACCTCAGCACCATGGAAACTGCTTCCACTGATGAGCTTTGGGACCACAGATGGGTTACCTCACCCCTGGGGTCTTCCTTTTGTCATCTGCAAAATGAAGAAGCTAAACCTATACCCAAAAGCCTGCATTCACTATCTGACCTAGAACCACAGAAAGTTTCCTAAGTGGCCAATATAAAATGGTCACATAAAAGTCATTTGTGCTCTTCCCTGAAAGTGGGTATTTCTCTAGAATTTCTCTTAGAGAAAAGTATTCTGTAACGGCAGATTTGACTTCTGATGACAGAATAGATGAACCTCTGCTCCTAACAAGGGATGCCCACGAAGGACGAGTGTGAAGCTAATGTTCTTCATTCAGGCACTCATCATTTTCATGTTTTAAAAAGTATTCCAGGTTCAGCGTCATAGAGAAAAGCAACAGAAGCTAGAGACCCATTAGGTCTCTTCTAAGCTAGGAATATTCTATTCACAACTGGACTTGTATGTAGATTCCTTTTTAAAAACATGTAAAACAGCTTGTCTCAGAGTCTCACTATATTTTATTTTGTTTTATTGTACTGTTTTTGTAAACTGAAGTGCCTTTTGAAAACAAGAAGGCATGTAAATAAATTTAGAGTGGAAAAAATTGCATTAAATAGGTTAAATATTTATAAATCATGTGATATGTTGATTGCTAAATAAAATGTAAAAATAATTTTAAAGACTGCAAGACGATGTGTGCGGTTGCCACATATAGAACTCTTCAAATGTGATTCATCAGCTATAATTTTCATAATTTCTGTCATCTATAAAATTTTGCTGTGGAAAGAGTTGAAGAATCCTAGAGCATCATGTTTTCTCATAGCAAACAAACAAAATGAAATTCAGACCCGAAATAGCTGTGTTCCCTGTTGTCTACACACTCTAAAGTTTAACATGGTTGCTTTTAAGATAATGTTTCTTTTTAAATCAGACTGGAGGGAAAAGAATTTTTTCTGCTTTAAGGAAACAAACTCAGCCATAAGTATCATTTTAAGTTTCTAGATTCTTCTATAGTTAAGCAATGGCAGTATTACTGAAATAAGTGTAGTCTCCCAAGGGGAACATTTTGGAAGACACACTCATTTAGATGTAGAAGACCTGATATGTTGATTGAATAAAATCAGCCAGATTGCTTCAAAGTAATACCTAGCATAGCAAATAGGAAGAGATAAACTGGCCCCGTGACCAAGGGTCACTAAGGCCAGTCCACTCAATCCTTTCAGAATTTGGTACTGACCCCTGAACCCCATCAATTCCTCTGAGAGTCCAGGATGAGAGGAGGAGTCTGCCTTTGTTTGTTTGAACTGCAGTAAGTTTTGGTCATGTGAGTCTAGTCTAGGCACAGGTCAAAGCAAGAACAACAGGCAAAGCCACAGTGAAACACACCAAACGGAAGGTGATTCCTTCCCAGACACCAAACATCCTTTGTAACCAAACTGCATCACTGAGGTGTTTGCAAATCTTTTCCCTTTGTTGTCTAGCGATTCAGAATATTGTCATTACAAACTGCCTCTGGCAAGTTAATCTGAGTATCAGCATTGTTCAGCATGTGTTGGGTGTGATGGAAGGATAGCAAAGATAGATGATAGCTAGCTAGCTAGCTAGCTAAATAGGTAGACAGATAGATAGATAGATGACAGATTCGGTAGATAATAGACTCTTTTCTTCTTGATAGGTTTGGCTAGGGGTTTATCTATTTTGTTTATTTTCTCTAAGAACCAGCTCCTGCTTTCATTGATTGTATTGTTTTATTCTTCTCAATTTTTTTTAGTCCTGCTTTAATTTTTATTATATCCCTCCTTCTACTGACTTTGGGCCTCATTTGTTCTTCCTTTTCTAGTTTCATTAATTGTGAGTTCAGACTGTTCAGTTGGGATTGTTCTTCTTTCCTGAGGTAGGCCTGTATTGCAATATATTTCCCTCTTAGCATGGCCTTCATGGCAACCCATAGATTTGGTGTTGTTGAATTATTGTTATCATTTTTCTCCATATACTGCTTAATCTCTGTTTTTATTTGGTCATTGATCCATTGATTATTTAGAAGCATGTTATTAAGCCTCCATGTATTTGTGGGCTTTTTCATTTCTTTGTGTAATTTATTTCTCATACCTTTGTGATCTGAAAAGCTGGTTGGTACAATTTCTATCTTTTTTAATTTACTGAGGTTCTTTTTGTGGCCTAGTATATGATCTATTCTGGAAAATATTCCATGTGCACTTGAGAAGAATGTGTATCCTGTTGCTTTTGGATGGAGTGTTCTGTATATGTCCGTTAGGTCTATCTATTCTAATATGTTGTTCAGTGCCTCTGTCTCTTGTCTGTCTGGCTGATCTGTCCTTTGGAGTGAGTGGTGTGTTGACGTCTCCTAAAATGAATGCATTGCATTCTATTTCCCCCTTTAATTCTGTTAGTATTTGTTTCACATTTGTAGGTGATCCTGTGTTGGGTGCATAGATATTTATAACAGTTAAATCCTCTTGTTGGACTGACCCCTTTATCATTATGTGTTGTCCTTCTTTGTCTCTTGTTGCTTTATTTATTTTGAAGTCTATTTTGTGTGATACAGGTACTGCAACTCCTGCTTTTTTCTCCCTGTTAGTTGCATGAAATATCTTTTTTCATCCCTTTACTTTCAGTCTGTGTATGTCTTTGTGTTTGAAGTGAGTCTCTTGTAGGCAGCATATAGATGGCTCTTGTTTTTTTATCCTTTCGTGATTGTATATCTTTTGATGGGTGCATTCAGACCATTTACACTTAGGGTGATTATCGATAGGTATGTGCTTATTGCCAATGCAGGCTTTAGGTTCGTGGTTACCAAAGGTTCAAGGGTAATTCCCTTACTATCTAACAGTCTAATTTAACTCACTTTGTGTGCTTTTACAAACAGAACGTAAAGATTCTTTTTTTTCCTCCTTTTTCTTCCTTCTCCGTTCTTTGTATGTTATGAATCATATTCTGTACTCTTTGTCTATCCCTTGGGTGACATCTATTTAGCCTTAGGAATACTTCCATCTATAGGAGTCCCTCCAAAATGCACTGTAGAGGTGGTTTGTGGGAGGTAAATTCTCTCAACTTTTGCTTATCTGAAAATTGTTTAGTCCCTCCTTCAAATTTAAATGATAACCTTGCTGAATATAGTATTCTTGGTTCAAGGCCCTTCTGCTTCATTGCATTAAATACATCATGCCACTGCCTTCTGGCCTGTAAGATTTCTGCTGAGAAGTATGATGATAGCTTGATGGGTTTTCCTTTGTATGTGATCTTTTTTCTCTCTCTAGCTGCTTTTAAAAGTCTGTGCTTATGCTTGATCTTTGCCATTTTAATTATTATATGTCTTGGTGTTGTCTTCCCTGGGTCCCTTGTGTTGGGAGATCTGTGTACCTCCATGGCCTGAAAGACTATCTCCTTCTCCAGATTGGGGACATTTTCAGCAATTATCTCCTCACTGACACTTTCTATCCCTTTTCCTCTCTCTTCTTCTTCTGGTACTCCTGTAATGCAAATATTGTTCTGTTTGGATTGTTCACACAGTTCTCTCAATATTCTTTCATTCTTAGAGATCCTTTTTTCTCTCTGTGCCTCAGCTTCTTTGTATTCCTCTTCTCTAATTTCTATTCCATTTACAGTCTCTTCTACTGCATCTAATCTGCTTTTTAATCCCTCCATTGTATGCTTCATTTCAGGTATGGAATTTCTTAATGATTGAATCTCCAACTTAAATTCATTCCTGAGTTCTTGAATATTTTTCTGTACCTCCATAAGCATGTTTATGATTTTTATTTTGAGCAGATTGGTGAGTTCAGTTTCATTTGACCCTTTTTCTGGGGTTTGTGAGATTTTGGTCTGGACATGTTCTTTTGATGTTTCATATTTCTATGTGGTGCCCACTAGTGCCCAGAATCTCCAGTCTCTGGAGCTGCTCAGCCCCTAGAGTGAGGTTAGGGGGTGTAGGGGAGCCGAGCTGGTGCCTGGGGGGAAAGATCTGTTTCCTGATTCCCATCTGTGTTGCCTGTCTCCACTGTCAGAGCCAGTCAGCTGAGCACACAGGTGTAAAGCCTCTGTGCTTTGTGTCTCTGTTGTAGGCGGGGCCTCCCTCTGACTGGCCAGATGGCAGCACAGTGACAGCCGGTTTGTGAACCGGTGCCATCAGGCCAGGAGGAAGGTGCAGCAGGCTGGGTGTCATAGTGCGGGGCGTCGGAGCTGAGTAGGCAGCCAGGGGGATGGGGCACCTGAAGCGCCCCAAAGTTCCCGAAGAGCTGGGCAGAGCGTGCCCAGACAACCCTGTCCAGCTCTCCCCTCCCCCGCACAGCGGGCTCTGCGCAAACCCCGCCCCTTCGGCAGCCCTCCTGCTGCGAGGAAGCCTCTCAAACTGCCGCCTGTCCTCTGGCAGAGTGGCCGGGTGTGGATCCCCCCTCCACAAACGGCCGGAATCTCTCTCTCAGGCACTCCACCTGAGCTCCTCAACGTCCGAGCACCACACAGTGTCGGTTTGTGCTCCCAAGGCAGACCTCCAGGGCTGGGTGTTCAGCAGCCCCAGGCTTCCACCCCCTCCCCCAGTCGGCTGTTCCCCCGCCCCGCCCCCCATTGGTGAGCTGGGGTGGGGAAAGAGCCTGGGTCCCGCCTGATTAAGGCTTTTGAACGTTACCCGCTGGGGTGGGGGAAGGGCCTGGGTCTCGCCTGATTAAGGCTTTTGAACGTTACCCGCTGGGGTGGGGGAAGGGCCTGGGTCCCGCCTGATTAAGGCTTTTGTTTGTTACCCTGTTACGTGAGGTCCGCTCTGTTCGTGAGGTCTGTGCGCAGTCTGGTTTAGCCTTCTTTCTTGTTGCTGTTTTAAGATTAGTTGTATCAATTAACTATATTTTCATTATTTCAGTTAACTGTATTTCACTATTTGTGGCTTTGTTCGTGAGGTCTGTGTGCAGTCTGGTTCAGCCTTCTTTCTTGTTGCTGTTTTAAGGTTAGTTGTATCAATTAACTATATTTTCATTATTTCAATTAACTATATTTCACTATTTGTGGCTTTGGGAGGAATTCTCCATCTCACCTCTCATGCCGCCATCCTAAATCTCTCTAGGTAGGTGATAGAAAGGTAAATAGATAAAGGATGGATGGGTAATAGATGATAGGTAAATAGATAAGGTAAACATTGACAGGATAGACAGGCATGGGTAGGTAGCTAGATGATAGACATTGATTATGATAGAGTATAATCCAGTTCACTTGGAGAGTTAAGGAAGATATAGGAAATAATTAGGAGACATACTAGACATTATGTAGAATGTGTGTTCTACGAACTCTTCTCCCTGGAAGAAGTAGGGGAAGAGCTACAGAATGGTCAGAAAAGACATCATGGAGGATGAGAGACCCGTGGCTGTTTAATGTGCCAAACGGGGGGTGTAACATTTTAACACAGCCTAACGCATTACAGTGTTAGCTTTAAGGACAAGCCAAGTTCTCTGTGCTGCTCCTGGGGCTAACTTCACCCTGCGCTCTCCTCAGAGAGCATGGTTGGGACGAGCAGGGGAGGAATAGAAGTCAGGAAAATCTGTTGTGCCTTTCACCAGGCATCCGTGTGATGGGCTGTGCACGATTCCCACAGCAGCATGCTCTCCGGAGAACAAGCTAGAAATGAACACAGAGCACTGGTGAGGACATCAGAGTGGATGGGGGAGCAGGAGAAGATGGGAGATAGGGTTGAATAAGGGGAGGGACACAAAACCTCCATGAGAATGAGACCTCAGTGGTGGGCGGCAGAGACACCCGCAGGCTTTGGAACACGGTAGCATCATGATGAAAACACAGTATTTCAGGACTACTCCCTGGGAAGCCAGATGAAAGGAGACAGGAAGAGACTGGAAGCAAGGAAACTTTGGGTGAGACCATGGCTGTCATTCAAACCAGAGGGTGAGGAGCTGGAGGCTGGGGTGGTAGATGTGGACAAGAAAGAAGCAGAGGCTCAGAAAGCTCCCATGATACCTAGTGGCTATGGAAGGCGTGGGCGGTGGAAGAGGGAGGCATTCAAGAGGAGAGTGGGGCTGCACTCAAGGACCCACACATCCCCTTTGCCGCAGGATTTCTACGTGGGGCTGTTGGGTCAGCGTTGGACACAGAACAGTATGGAGGCTTGGGAAAAGGAAAGTTTTTGCTTTACTCAGTGTCAGTTGGGAAATCTGTAAAACTAGCCACTTTCTCTGGAAATGGTTTTAGTGCTAAGACGTTCTTTGTATTATACAGCAGTACTTCCCTCTTGGCCTCAATTTGGAGATGCGATTGCTGAGACATCGAAGGGTTTTGAACCTGAAAGAATATGGAATTATTTGTTGACCTCTCTGTAGCATCAACGCTATAGGACACCTGCTCCCCCTTGAGAAGTGCTGCCCCCTTGGTTTCTGACATACTCCCACAGTTCTCCTCTAACTCTCTGATCCTGCCTTCCCAATCTCGTTTCTGGTCCTCTTTTTTAAGTTCAAGTTCCCCCTGGGTATTGATGACTCCCAAATCTACCTCCCTGCTTACCGCCATCTAGCCGTCTCTCCAGCTGGGCAGCAGAGTCCCCATCCGGATGCCCATCTCTCCTACTTGGTTAACCCTCTCTTTTTCAGGGAGCTCCTACCCACTACTGCCTTCCTCCCAGCCAGATCCCTCACCCCATCAAGACTGTCATCTCATTGTGCCTTGTGGTCCAGGGCGTGGATCATAAGACACCCTGATTGTATCATATCTTCCTTCTTGGTTCTATCAGTCACCAATGGTATTTCTCCTTCAGCATTTCTCACTGCCACACCTGTTGTTACTGTCCTGTCCTAGCCCAGAAGCTCACCATCGATGGCAAGGAACACACAGCCTAGCTTATGGTGTCGTGGTACGATGGCTGGTCACAGGACAGGGCTCTGTGGATTCCTGGCCTCTGCCCAGGCCCTCAGGGGGTAAAGTGAGGCGGAGGCCAGTATCTGCCTATAGAAACTACTCTTTTTCTCTTTGATATATTGAATTTCCATTTGATGAAAGGGACCACAGCTTTAAAAAGCTTTTAGAATTACCGTTAATGCAGAAAAGTGTGGATTTTTATTTCTGAATGTCCACATAAGTATTGGTGACATTGACAGGTTACTTTATATATCTCAAATCTAATACTATAGACAGCATGCCTCATTTTATTGTGCTTTGCTTTTTTGCATTTGGCAGATACTGCATTTTTTATGGATTGAAGGTTTGTGGCAACCCTGTGTCAAGACGGTCTATGGGTGCCATGTTTTCTGACAGCATTTGCTCACCTTGTGTCACGTTTGGGTAGTGATATTCAAACTTTTTCATTATTATTGTATCTGTTATGGTGATCTGTGATAAGGGATTATGACTGAGCTCAGATGGTGGTTAGCATATTTTAGTAATATTTTTTATTTTGTATTTTTAATGAAGATATATATAATATTTTAATTAAAGTTTTTAATTAAGGTATGCATATATTTTTAGACATAATGCTGTTGCATAGTTAGTGGACTATAGTACAGTGCAAACATAACTTTTACATGCACTGGGAGCCACAAAATTCACTTGACTCACTTTATTGCAGTATTTGCTTTTTGTTGGTGTGCAGCTGAACTTGCAATATCTCTGAGCTGTGCCTGTGATATACATTACTATGTATATCTCAAATATTATATATATTTATGTGTGTATACACACATATGTGTATATACACATACTCACAAATATAATAATAGCAATATCTGCTTGCAGGATTGTTTTGAGCACACAAATGCAGTGCCTGGAACTTATGTTACCTCTTTAGAGAGACTGTGACTTGCAGTCTGAAATAGCCACAGCACCCTCATTTTAAGACTCCAGTGGGACTCACCAGTATCTGATAATTCTTTGTTTCTGTGTCATTGTCTGTTTCCCCCCTTATGTACAGAAGCCCCACAAAAATAGGGGCTTTGTTTTTCCTGTTCATTGCTGATTCCTCGTGACCTAGGACAATCCCCAGCACATAGTAAATGCTTAGTAAGTTTTTGTGTTCAGGTTGGGGAATTAGTTCATTGAAGGGGCTTAATAAAAAGTAGGGTTTACTCTTCTTTCCTGACTTTTCAAAGTCTGTCCCAAATCCAACCTAGCTTATGTGATGTTAGACTGGTTCTCCTAAAATGTTGATTTTAATCACGTTTGCTTCTGCTCCAGATCTCCAAAGAGCCCTTATAATAGTTCAAAGCTTTTCATAAACAATGACTGCCTTTGGGTAGTTCAGCTTTCCAGCCAAAGTGACCCCTTAATGTTTCTCTGGACATATCTTATTTTGCTTATCCTGTGTCCATAATCTTTCCTCCTCCTGGAAAGCCCTTACCTTCCATTCTGCAGACACAGATACTGTTCTTCTATTAAGCCAGTATTCTCAGTATATTTTCTGAAGGTATCATATAGTTCTGTGAGATACCAATGCCCCAGATCCTCTGACTTCTGTTCTTGTTTTTTCACTACACTGTTTGCCAGTATGCATTCTGAGAAAACCAGGGGACATGAGGGGAGGGAAAAAAAAGCCATATAACAAAGTTGAACTAATTTAATTTTGCCTTCTCAGGGCCCTTAAAATGCTGAGAGACAGTGTGAATTGGCAAAAGTAGGTTTTAGAATGCAGTGTTTCCCAAACTTGCTTAACCAAAAAACACTGTCTTCAAGGAGCATCTCCCAGATTTGGTACTGCATGAATAAAACTTTGGAAAGTGCTGTTTTAATACAATCTGAAATGCACCTCTTTGATAAACTGATCACCCTAGAGTGCTTTGACCCCCTCTTCGCTGAACTCCATAACACTTGTGGTATATTATCCATCAGAATCACTGTTCATGTAGCAATTTATACATTTTATTGGTATACCTTAGCTCCACAACCTAATTAGAAGTTCTTGGAGGGACTGAGCCCCTCTGTGCCTAGCACGTGAGCCATGCACACAGCTGATGGTGAGAAAGTGCACACTTAGTACATGAGTGGGACTTTCCCGTTCTTTGCATGTTCTCAGCACTTTAACAATGTCTCCTTGCTCATGACCTTGAAGGTCTCCCTGTAACCTCTGCCTTTATATTGCTCTGTGCTTACTAATTCACACTGAATGCCCAGAATGGTTTCTATTTTTAGGACAGAT